CTCTGGAATTCATTTTCCCATCAATGACAACAATCCGTCCAGGCCCTGAGGCAGCAAAGCAGCCCCAAACCATGATGCTCCCTCCACCATGTTTTACAGTGGGGATGAGGTTTTGATGTTGGTGTGCTGTGCCTTTTTTTCTCCACACATAGTGTTGTGTGTTTTTCCCAAACAACTCAATTTTGGTTTCATCTGTCCAAAGTATATTTTGCCAGTAGTGCTGTGGAACATCCAGGTGCTCTTTTGCAAACTTCAAACGTGCTGCAATATTTTTTTTGGACAGCAATGGCTTCCTCCGTGGTGTCCTCTCATGTACTCCATTCTTGTTTAATGTTTTCCTTATTGTAGATGTGTCAACAAAAATGTTAGCATGTGCCAGAGATTTCTGTAGGTCTTTAGCTGACACTCTAGAATTCTTCTTTACCTCAAGAAGCATTCTGCGCTGTGCTCTTGCAGTCATTTTTACAGGACGACCACGCCTAGGGAGAGTAGCAACAGTGCTAAACTTTCTCCATTTGTAGACAGTCTGTCTTACCGTGGACACATGAACATCAAGGCTTTTGGAGATACTTTTGTAACCCTTTTGAACTTCATGCAAGTCAACAATTCCTGATCGTAGGTCTTCTGAGAGCTCTTTTCTGCGAGGCATGGTTCACATCAGACAGTGCTTCTTGAAACCAGTAAACCCATAACAGGTGTGTGTTTTTAAAGGGCAGGACAGCTGTCAGTAACACATCCAATATCATCACACTGATTGGAGTCAAGGTTGGCTCACTCCTGGCTCCAATTAGCTCTTGGAGACGTCATTAGGCTAGGGGCTCACATACTTTTTCCTCCCTGCACTATGAATGTTTACATGTTATGTTCAATTAAATCATGGCAACATGTAATGTTTGTGTATTATTTTCAGCAGACTGTGTTTTTCTATTGTTGTGACTTAGATGACGTTCAGAGCACATTTTATGACCAATTCATGCAAAACTCCGCGTTATCCCAAGGGGTTCACATACTTTTTCTTGCAACTGTATCTCTCTGTTAATGCAACCTAGGACTGCATTGGCTTTTTTGGCTGCTGCCACACACTGATAGCTCATATTTAAGTGATTGTCCACTACGGTTCCAAGATCCTCCCCACAGTTACTGCTATTGAGTCAGGTTTCACCTAATCTGTACCTGTATATTTGATTTTTCTTGCCTAAGAGTAAAACCTTAGGCAAGTAAAACCTACACTGAATTTCATTTTGTTACATAGGACCCAGTGTTCCATCTGGATCTTGAGCCTATTTTCTGGGGGTGTTGGCTATTCCTGCCAGTTTAGCGTCATCTGCGAAGTTGATGATTTCCCGTTCTATTTCCTCATTTAAATCATTTATGAAGATGTTGAAGAGTACTGGGCATAAAACAGAATGTTAGGGTACCCTACTGCTTCCTTCCTTCCATGTAGATGTAGTTCCATTGAGGACTGCACATTGAGTGCGGTTTGTCAGCCATATCAGCAGATATACTTTGAACTATTCTGAGTTTTCCTATTATCTTCACTTGTATGATATGTAATCTAATGGACAATATGTTGAGAACCCTTACATTGCAAAGTGTAGCAGAATTGGGAACTCAAGATGACATGCTTCTGAATATTAATTGAAGAATGCAGCACTGGTGTAGACTATTGACCTCATGTCCTATTTACAGATTATTCATTGGCATTTGGCTAGCACAATGGAAAGTAGTATTCTGGGCTAAATAAATCTTTTATAGAAGCCACTAGAGCTCTTTGTAAGTTTATCTCCTAGGGAACAATGATAAAATGACACCCTTGAAATGTATTGGGCTACAGCTTCTATTATTTCCAACTTGTTGAACGGTTGCAATGGCTGGGAATTACAGAGTTGAATTCCAACACATTTGGAAGGCGCCTAGCTAAAGAAGGCAGATAGGAAACTGCATATTCATAAATTATAATATATATGCCACTTATTCACTGGACAGGCAGTTTCACTTCTGTGTTTTTCAATCTTAGCAACTTTCAGATATGTGGACTTCAACTCCAAGAATTTTCCAGCCAGCCACGCTGGTGTATGTGATGCACATATAACATAATCCATATTAAGTAAAAAAGGATTATGCATTTTTCTTCATTACTGCAAAAAAACAACATATTCCAGGGCCTTTCATCCTCTAAAGCCACGTAATGTGTGTGCCTTCAAGTCAATCCTGATATCTGCCTGGAAACATCTCTGAAGTTTTCTTGGCAAGATTTCAGAAGGGATTTGCCACTGCCTTCTTCCTAGGCCTGAGAAAGAGTGAGTGAGAGAATAACTAGCTGGCTTCGGGCCTAAAGTGGGACTAGATTAAGGTGGGACTATAATTCACAGTCTCCTGGTTTCTAGCCCAATGCCTTAAACCACTATATCAAAATGGCTCCTAAGAAATGTATCTGGAGCATAGACACATAGGTAATTTCTTAATATGAAATAACCTAAGGGCATATGTTTCTAAAATCTGCTTTACATTGGATTCCACAATCTGAAAGCCTCTCAACATCCAGGAAAGTAATACATGAGAATGGTGAGGGGGGAAGGAAAAATAGAAAAAAAGAAACAAGATTTATATGACTCTCATATAGATATAAGATTACTTTAATGATGAACAAAAAGACTTTGTCATTCTTCAATTTATGAAACATAAAGTTTAATCCCAAATTCTATATTTTAGTGCCTGTCAGACACAAATGAACAAATGAATAGGTGTCTAAGCTCCAGGTTATAACAAACATGACCAGACAATATAGGAGAGAGAAAGCCTTAAAAAAGTAATGAACCTTGGAAGTCATGTATCAAAAGAACTCTTACATTCTATCCTCTTTTATATCAATAATGCAGGATAGATGTTCTAAGAACAAACAATATAACTCAATCTAAAAAGAATATGAAATAAGAATAAAAAGGTACACAATCCTTGAGCAATATAACATGCTACTGCTCCTAAGGTGAATATTCAACCTATATATTTGATATAATAACCATTAATGCAAGATCATACTAAGTAGATTACAGTTTGGAAGTGGCTTAAAATATCTTTTCCCAAAAAAAAAAAAAAAAAAGAATTAACCCCAGATCAAGAGAAAAGGAAATACAAGGATGTCAGTTTCAATATACAAAAATTGGTACCATGCAAATATGCAGAACATAATACACACATAGAGAAATATGTCCCTCTCAGTTAATGCTGATGCCTGGCAACTGCTGGTTTAGTCCCTAGTTTTATTGGCAAGAATGGTTTGCCACTGCCTCTTTCCTAAGACTGAGAGATAGAGACTGACCCAAGGTCAGCCAGCTGGCTTTGTGCCTCAGGGTTTTTAGCTTGGTACCTTAACCACTATACCAAATTGGCTCTTTAGAATTGATAACTACGGAATACCTGTAAAAGTTAAGGCAGGTAATGAAAGTGCATAAAGCTTAGCATAAAAGGGAGGGAGGCAGAAAGTGACAATAAGGACCAACCCCATCTTTAAACTGAGAACAAAATGATTACAGTGATTAAAACGAGTAGTTTCTCTTCTCCTGGGCTTCCCAGGGTCCATCCACTAATCCAGTGTTTCTCAACCTTGACCATTTTAAGGCATGTGGACTTCAACTCCCAGAATTCCACAGCCAGCAATGCTGGCTGTGGAATTCTGGGAGTTGAAGTCCACATGCCTTAAAATTGTCAAGGTTGAGAAACACTGCACTAATCGAATACTACCGGTAGGAACAACCTTTCCAACACAAAGATGCTCAGGAAAAGAAAAGAAGGGCAGTTATCGAAAGGTCACCATCCTAGGCAGACCGACGAAGCCAGGACCGCGGTCAGGTGGCTCGAGCGTAATCCCTGCAACATTGAACAAGGGAGGCGATGCGCGCGCAAAGTCAGACTGACCTGTCGGAAGCAGAAGGGCATCGTCAGCACGCTAACCCCGACGATGCTGTTCACAATGTTCATGATCAGGCCCCAGTTGGAACCCGAAGGCGCGGAGGAAGCCATAGCCGAAAGAAAGGGAGAGCGGGCAGGTAACGGGGGAAGGGAGCCTTGAAGAGGGAGGGAAATGGCAGCTCCAGGCCCGGCACGGAGCGCCAGATTACGGCGAGGTCAGGGCGCCGCTTCAGCACCCAGCCTCCCACCAAAACAAACTCTCTCCTGTAAGCCGGCTCCAAACGCACACGTCGCACGCACTTCCTAATTCCCTTGCTCTGTTGGCGCTTCCGGGATGCAAAAACCACCGAGGGCCGTCGCCTAGAGCGGCACAACGGGAACAAACGTTTAGATGTGCCCCGGAGGACTCCCTGACTGAAGCGAGGGGGACGGGTAGGAGGAGACCGAAGTTGCCATAGCAACCGCTCGTGACGCCGGCCGTCGCCGCTTACCAGACCGCGGCGGAGAGGGAGGGGCGGCGGTTTCCTTTGATGCTGCTGGCCGGGGAAGACCAAGGCGATGGTTCCACGCAGATGGAGCGACGCGAGGCAACGTGGGGCTTACTTGCACGCCAGGAACGTCTCTCGAATTTGGTTTGCATAACGGCGCCTTATTCTCAAGAGAACGGGGCAGGGCAGGGTGAATGTCTGCCTAAGACAGTCAACCTAAATCCTATGGGAGATGAATGCGATAGGACCTCCCTCTGTGGACAGAGAAGCATCCAGGGCACCCACAACCCGCAAATGCTTGAGCGAAAGTTATACAGGCAGTCCTCGACTGATGACCACAGTTGAGTCCAAACTTTCTGTCGCTAAGTGAAACATTTGTTAAGTGAGTTTTGCCCCACTTGACGACTTTTCTTGCCGTGGTTGTAAAGTGAGCCAGTGCCGTTGTTAAGTTAGTAACACCATTCTTAAGTGCATCTGGCTCCCCCATTGGCTTTGCTTGTCGGAAGGTTGCAAAAAGTGATCACATGACCTCAGGACACTGCAACCGTCATAAATACGAGTCGGTTGCCAGGCATCTGAGTTTTGATCACGTGACCACAGAGATGCTGTAAGGGTCGTAAGTGTGAAAAATGGTCATAAGTCACTTTTTTCACTGCTGTCACTAAATGAACTGTTGTAAGTTGAGGACTACCAGTAGTGTGAGCACTGTTGCCTGGTTACAGCACTCCGGTTCTTTTTCCTTCTCAGTTCTTGCAGCTGATGAGGACACCAGTAACTGTCAGGTGTGTAGTGAATTTCAAGGTTGAATATGAAGGAGACAGAGCACAAGATGCTAAACCTGGGTACTGAACAAGTCCATTGCTTCACATGGTAAAGAGAATTATAAAGGTGACCAATGTGGTTGGATTTATTTCAGAAAACAACGCCACAAAAATGGCTTAAAGTTAATCTTGCCCAAAGTTGGCAAGTTGTGCAAAAGAAGCTCCTAAGTATTTACTTGACCTGGTTAAGTGTGTTTTGGGAGCACAGCTTAATAGCAGCTAAACAGAACATATGTAGTGGTAGAGAAGAAATCCCATTGCAAAAAATTAATTTTGAACAAAAAGATGGGCAGCTCCATTTCTTATTTTATCTTAGGTTTCTTCTTTCCCCAGGGCTGGTTAGAAGAAAGATAATAAACAAATCCCAAAATATCAAAATCTGGATAAGAGTTCAGGAAATTGTCCAACTAAGTAGGAATCAGTGGATCTATGATAGAAATTTATATTTCATATACAGGTAGTCCTCGACTTACAACAGTTCATCTAGTGACCATTCAAGTTACAACAAAACTGAGAAAAGTGACTTATGACCATTTTTCACACTTTCAACCATTGCAGCATCTCCACGGTCACATGATCAAAATTTGGATGCTTGACAACCGGTTCATATTTATGCTTGCAGTGTCCTGGGGTCATGTGATCACCTTTTGGGACCTTCTGACAAAGTCAATGAGGAAACTAGTTACACTTTACAACTGTGTTACTAACTTAACAGCTGCAGTGATTCACTTAGCAACTGGCAAGAAAGGCTGTACAGTGGGGCAAAAGTCACTTAACAAATGCCTCACTTAGCAAGCGAAATGTTGGACTCAATTGTGGTCGTAAGTCAAGGACTACCTGTACTGATCTGAACCCCTTCTCCTATTTTCCCCATATCACAACCTTATGGGATGGATTGGATTCTTGTCCAACCAGTAGAGAACAGCCTCCAAATTTTCCCCATCCCCATTCTTAGAATAACATGAGCCAGGATAGGCTGAAAGAAGGGTAGGTGGCATAACATTACACAGCGAATATCCAAGTAGATATTTGAATCAGATTCCGTTATTTCAGTTTATCATGCTAACTAGTACACCACCGGGGCTCTCACTGTACAACTCTCAATATCCATGATGTCGGTACTTTGGCCTTGGAGTGGAATATCACAGGAATGCTATTATGACAGGTTTAATGGTGATTATTTTCTGGAGCAAAAAAAGATAACTATGACATACAGGTAGTCCTCAACTTATGACTGGTTGCTTAGCAACTGTTCAAGCTTATAATGAATTTTCCCGCTTTTGAAGTTCTGATGGCTGGTGCCCATTTCTCCCCACAGTCACATTTTGGGAGCTTGGCAACAGGCCCACATTTGCAATGTCCCCTACAATCACATGAATGCAATTTACAACGTTTTTTGCCATAAACCAGTTTCTTTCCAGCCTCTGGCAAAACTCACCCATTGGATACAAGGGGTTCACTTAAGAGTTGTGGCATTTGCTTAATGGCTGCTACAAAAAAGGTTATAAAATCAGGTGTGATCATGTGATCCACTTAATGACCGGCACAACTTACAGCCTAAGAATTTCCTCCCCCCCCCAGGTCAATTATAGTTGTAAGTTGAGGACCACCTATAGGACATTACAAGGGATATAAGGAAGGAAGAAGGCTATGTCATGGCTGTAGGAATTATGATCACCTGATCACCACCTGGTGCTATATATTTAAGTTTTGGGCTACAGCACAAATACTTTTTTCCTATCCAAAATGTCAGTTATTAAGGTTTATCACGTAGACTTTTGAGAAGTATACAAAATTGGACAAAGATCCTTTAAGAAATTGAAAGGACAATGGAGCATGTGTGGATTACTCTAGGGATATGAGCTCAAGGTTGTGGAATTAATTAGCATTAAGGAGAGGGGAATTAATACATGCCCCACAAATATTGAGTTAGCCCCAAAGCTGTTTACATGACGATGGCAATCTTGCATTTGGAGAAATCTTTCATCCTTGAAGCTCCCCAATACCTATTGCACAGTATGCAGGAATCTATGGACTAATTAAGTTTATACAATCATCAATCAGATAGTAACACTTTTATTGCAGTGCGCCACTTCAGGTGGCAGGTGGGAGGTTGCATACTTGAATGCTCACTTATGGGGGGGTTGAACTCCCCACAGGGAGACCCTGCATTTAGCAAACAAGCAATCAGGGAGAAAGCTAGATTGAACTTTTCTCTATGATATACCTATTTATCTACTCACCAGTGATAATTCATGCTAAATGATATATTCTAGCAAATGTATAGAACAAAACTCATTTCACTTGGATAGAATAACTTCTAAAAAAATTACATCCTGGGCAGATTAATTTGAAGAAGGGCTATCAAGATTTTATATTTAGCTACTAAGATATTCCAGGATAACTTGGATCAGATAGAGATTATCTTATTTCCTGGGCTGATTCTGTCACTATTTACACTATTTACATATCACAAGCTTTAAAGTCATGAGATCCTAATGCATACCACAAGAGTAAGCATGATCCAACCACTGAATCCTGGAACAGCAGGTGGGAGAATTTATAACTAAGACCAAATATTCCTGCTATTGCTAAACAAAACACAAGAATCATTTATACTGCATTATTGTTCCCATGAATTGCATAGATAAGTAATGAAATGCAGGCTTCTTGCAAACTGAAAATTTTATAAAAAATACTGGAAGTTTAATTTTGAAGAGGAAGCATATACAAATCACTCCATCTTCTGCTTTCAAAATTACCCATGAAGATAAGGGTTTAAAGCAGGGGTGTCCAAACTTTTTTCAAAGAGGGCCAGATTGGATGAAGTGAACGTGCTGGAGGGCCGAACATTTTTCCAAACATTCTTTGAACCATTACAATTAAACGCAAATGAATTATTTTATGCCTCTTTCCTCTCCCTCTCTTTCCTCTTTCTCTCTCTCTCTCTCTTTCCTTTCCCTTTCCTCTCTCCTCTCTCTCTTTCTCTTTCCTCTCCCCCTCTTTCCTCTCTCTCTTTCTCTTTCCTCTTTCTCTCTCTCTTTCCTCTAACTTTCTTTTTCCTCTCTTTCTCCTTTCTTTCCTCTTTTCTTCTCTTTCCTCTTTCCTTCCTTTCTCTTTCCTTTCTCTTTCCTCTCTCTTTCCTTTATTTCTCTTTCCTCTTTCTCTTCTCTTTCCTCTTTCTTTCCTCTCTCTCTTT